CGGTCGCCGCCGCCGCCGCCTTTCCGGCCTCCTCCAGGCCGCCGTCCCGAGGGGGCGATTTAAATGTCTCCGCTGAGTGCGGCTCGGCCGAGGAGGAAAGGCGGGGAGCAGGCAGGACGCCGATCCCTCGTCCCGCGGACGTCCCGGGTGGCGCCCAGAGTTGGAGAGGGCCGGGCCGGGCGCCTCCCTTGGGGGTCACAGTCCGGAGAGTCAGAGCAGAACCGTTTTCGGCCTCCCGTCCAGACTCGGCTTAACTCTCTCAGTGGCCAAGTAACTTGGCTTCTCGGCCCCGAGGGGCCGCCGCCGGCCCGGCCAGCATCCCGACCGCCGCGGACAGGGCGCTCGAGATGCAGATCCCACAGTTTCGGGATGCTCTTGGCGACATCCCACCCGCGTCTCCCTGGCTTCAAGCCTCTCCCCGCGCCGCTGTGCCCAGGAAGCAGAGTAACCCCGGGATGTGAGGGGAATAGGCTGTGGGTGCACGTTGTTGGGGGTTGGGAGGGAACGGGGGTCCCCGGAAGCCAAGTGGCTGGGACCGAGTGTCTGGGACCCGGAGGAACACATAACAAGCCAGAGGCTCCCTCTTTCCTTACAAGACCCTCTGTAGAAGCCAGCTGAGAGGGTCTGGGACGCAGTAGTGGACGATGGGCCAGGACCCCAAGTGACAGCCAGTGGGGTTGGGTTGTTGGGTCACTTCTGGGGTAGCCCGGGCTTCATTTCACATGGATCATCTGACCTGGAGACAAGTCTTAGAGAGATGTGGTTCTGTAGAGGTTAGGGAATCCAGTTGTCCCCTAAGTGTCCCGCTAAGAATTCCAGGAGTCAGGAGCTCTCCCTGGTTAAGCACCATCAGCTAAGGAGCACAGAGCTGGAATGCGAAGCCCCAGAGAAGCACTGAGATGTTGGTCTCCCCCCCGCCGCCCCACCCGGACAAGAAGGAATGAAGCAGCCACACAAGGGTCACCTCTTTCTCAAAGAGTTAGGTCTATTCAAGGTCATGTCCCAGTGGGGGCCCAGGTGACATTTATTGTGGTCACCAGTGTGAGTAACCTTAGGGGGTGCAGGCTGGGAGGGCAAGGTCAGTGATGTCTCAGCTCTTAGCCTGTATTTCTGTGGGAGAGTCACTGCTCTGAGTTGGACAGAGGCTGACAGAAAAAGGTGGGTTTGTAGATCAAGTCCTCATGAATTCTTGGAAAAGTGGGAACTCTGACCAGCCTGCTCATTAACAGTCATACTGTTTAAAGAGCTGCCTCCAAGAAAACCAGTTTTTAAAGTCCCTATGTAGCTCCTATTGTACTTTATATCTCCCTCCTTACCATCTACCCCAGTTGCTGAGTTTAAGGCCAGACTTTTTCCCTGCACTTGCCAAATTCCCTTTATAAAGCGAAGCTGGCTGAACACCTTTCCACATCCTCCACTCAGAGTCCACTGGGGGCTTTGGATGTGGTTGAGAATGCAGCCTGAGCAGAAGCGGTGGGAGAACACATCCCAGAATCCCATGCTGGGCTCCTGGACTGTGTGCCCTTGGCAGGAAGCGTGTGGAGAGAGCCGTCAAAAATAGAAGGGTTTCTCAGGGCAGGGGGATCCTGAGGCGAGGCGGGCAGTGGCACTGGGGCATTGTGTGGGGTCTGCAGCTGTGCAAGCTCGTGACCTTCGAGCTCTTTAAGCTCTTTAACAGCTCAGCTTGGGGGAGAGCTGCCAGGGCCCTCTCAGCTGGACTTGGATGGGCCAGAGGTCAAAGCTGCCCCACCGGAGGAACAGTTGGGCAGTTGGGAAGAGCCAAGGGCAGATCTGACATGGGAAAAGAATGGAGCCTGCTTTGTTTTAAAACGGGGGTGGGGAAAAGCTTGGTGATGTGACTACATTTGACAAGTGCAGGAAAAGACAGTTTGGCTTTCAACTGGACACCCAGGTAAATGGCAGAGTGGAGGTGGAATTGGGCAGTAATGCTGGTGCCAGTGGAGATGTGGGACAGATTTTTCAGGGCTCAGTAGGAACCCATCTACAGCCAGGCTGCTGGTCTCCAAGTGCCCTCTCTGCTTCTGACACCGAGCGCACCGAGCACACTGCTCTTTGTGCTGGAGTGCTTGTGCCTGTAGTTTTTCAGTACCAACTAATCTCTGCAGAAATCTTAAGCAGTTTTGTTTCCTTTTTTTTTTCCTACCTCACAGCCTTAATTTTATCTTAGTTTGGCTTAGCTCCTTGATTTCTATCTTCTTGCTGCTTTTTTCAAGTATTTTCCTCCCCATCCTTTTTCTCTCCTCTCCCTTCCCCCCAGTATTCATTCTCTTAGACCTTGAATGTTATTCTCTGCTGATTGTGCTGCCCAGTCTTGGAAAGCTGTGGCCTTTGAAGCAAGAAACTTCCAGCATCTCCTCTTTTCACCTTTTTCTTTTCTGGACTTATCATTAGCAGTTGGACTTACTATGAGGCTAATGAAACTTCTGCCAAAGGCCTCTCTGGCCCCTACCATTTTATACTCATAATTCTGTATTAATTTTCTTAAAGATAGTCACCCTAATTTATAAGATTTAGACCCTGTGGATTTTGGATTCACCCACGGTCTGTACTTTAAGTTTCCGTTCTGTGGTTGGTTGATTGACTTAGTAACTGATTGTTGGTCTCTTCCTGGGCCCCGCTTGAGGGGCATATAGATTGTTCCCAATTATTCAGGATGAAAAACAACATCAGGGGTAAACATCCTTGTAACTAAAGCTTTGTGGACATCCTTAATTATTTCCTTCAAAGAAACTCCTGAGCTTAGAATTGCTGGGTCAGAGAGGAGGGAGGTTTTAAGGTGTTTTCTATGCATTTCCAAAGTACCAGGGATGCTAAAGTGTGTACGTTAGAGAACTGCATTAACTTATTTGGTCATTGGAGTTTTGGAATAATTTTTCCAAAGGGCTGCTCCAGTGCAAAGGACCAAAGCAGCCTACACGATGGGGACTTAAAAAAGATCACACATAGTCAAAATGGGTGAGGGAGGTAAGTGATAGACATGAAAAGGAAAAGTAATATATGGAAACTATGGAAGGAAAAGAAGGCAAATGTTAATTAAGCCTTGTGTCTGGTGTCTTTCTCCGTGAGAGGAAGTTGCTCTTTAGCTTCTTAATTAGATATTAGTGGTTTAATAAGTTTGCTTCATGCTAATTAAACACCTTCTTACAGGTGAAAAGATTTGTTGTACGTAGGGTAAGGGAGGGAGAAGAATGCTGGAGGAGCAGGGATGGAGCTCAGGCACGAAGGGCAGCGGGGGCATGTCGCAAACGTGCACATGCTCGGTCAGGGCCCTCTCTCCAAGCGTTCAGCTTGAGTGGTCCCTCTGTTGCCTTGCTCTAGGCAGTGTGTGTTGTCCCCGTGGCCAGGTGGACCAGAATATCCTGGGCAGTGTTACAGATGTTATGAGTATCAGTTCGGATTCAAACATGCACATGATTCAGTTTCCTCCTTTACAGTGACACCCAGAGAGTGTGTGCTTGCCTAGGCACAGCTTCCTCTCCTGTACCTCCCACCCTCCTCACCCCTGGGTCTTCTTGCATCCTTTGAACAAGAGCAGTAGGTGCCGGGGACAGGAACAAAGCCGATTTCTGTCCCCTTAGACGTGGATCGGTTCCTCAGCTGCAGGGCAGACAACTGTAACACCCTGTGATATAAATAAATGCCACCGGCTGGCATCCAGCCCCCAGAATGGGTTTCCTTCACACCCCTCTTCTCCTCCTCTCTGCCCCAGACACCCTGGAGTCTGGGGCGGTTGGGTGCACTGGCTTCCTTTCTGGTGACGTGCTTCCTGCCCCATCTCCTGGCTGTGCTCGGGCACAGAGCAAGTGCTTAAAACGGAAGATGTGCTCAGCTTTTTGCTTTGTTAAGGTTGTCAGAGCATCATTCACTGAGGAATAGCAGGCAGTTCAGAGCCAAGGAGAACGGAACATCCTCACTTTGCATTAAGGTTGAGAATTAAAAGAACAAGCTAGACGGCTTTGCCATAGTGCCAATACAGTCGCTACTAGCCAGATATACTGCTATTTAAAGCAAAATGAATGCCAACCACATAAAATTAAGAATTCAGTTCCTTGGTCGTACTAGCCACATTTCAAGTGTTTAATAGCCACACGTGACCAGAGGCTACTGTTTGGGATAGCGCACAGAACATCTTCATCATCACAGAAAGTTCTGGATGATACTAGTTTAGAGCAATGACTGAAGTCTTAAAGGAATAGGCAAAGATGAAAAGGCGACATGAGAAAAAGAAAAATCCTTGGTGTATCTGAGTATTAGAACTGAATCAGAGGTGCTTAACTCTAAACTTTACAGTGGGCTACCAGTCGTAATAAAAATAAATAATAAATAAATAAATAAATTTTAGCGTGGGCAGCCGGAGAGGCTGAATTCTTTTTTCATTCATCAAACGTTGGAGTGCCTGCTCTGTGCTCAGGAGTAGGGATTCAAGAATGAAAAATCCACTCAGTCTGATGGGTGAGAAGATCATGGGATTCTAGTCTTGCATCTCAGGCAAAATATGAGATATGGCTCCGATGGGGGAGACGCTTATCCTTGGGCAGGCACATGTGTTCAAGGGGCAGAGTAGAGACCCCTGTGGAGGTAAAACCTTTAGAAGGGAGACCTTGTAGATCATGAGACTTGCTGCCCCCCAGATCTTTGTGAGGAGAGACCAAAAAGTGGCATGAAAGCTGCCTTCTCATAACCGCTGGGGTGGACGTTTTTGCTGAGTTCTTTTGCCCCGTGCTGGCGCTCAGGCAGGGGTGTATTCTCTACTTCCCCATCCTGATTTTCTGGAAGTGGCATTTTCAGATCTCGTTCCTGGTTCTCCCTGGAGCTGCAGAGCCTGCTTTCTCAAGCTCTCAGGAAGGGACAGCACGTGCATGAGGCCCAAGTTCTAAGGAGACCCAGAAAGCCTCTCCTGGGGTTTCTGAGGAGTCCGTCTGAAGATCTGGAGACACGGGTGAGGCTGCTGTTTCCTGAGCTAGTGCTGAACTCTGGCTGGGGCAGAGACAGCTTTGCTGCCCAGGGGACAACCTTCCAGGGCAAGAAGACAGATTCTTTTCAGCCAGTTACTCACAGCCCTGAGTGTGAGGGTGTGAAGGGCCGGGTTCCAGCCAGTTCTGATTCCCCAGTGACCTGCTGCTGGTCAGGAAACAATCTCCTTCTGATAACTCCTACTGCGACTTGTCTGGGGAAAATGTTTTCACACTTATTAAAAGAAGCCATGGTGTTCTCAAAAATCATGTGCTTTCTGGGGGGTAGCATGTTAGAAATTCAAATGAACGATTCTATCAGGTAGTATTTGCTGGGCATCTATACGAGGTCAAATGTTTTCACAGGGACAATAGTTTTTAATTGAATCTTTGAGACAACCTGGTGAGTGGTTTTCATTTTGCCAGCCAGAAAACTGCGGCTTACAGATTTACACATGTTGCCCAAGGCCCACCCAGCCTCAGT